ATGGGTGGCTCAATTTCAACTGCCCTTCGTTCGTCAACTTCGCCCCCGACGTCCCATGGCGGCCAAAAGTCTTGCGTCGCCTTCCAAGACTCTGCGCCCACTGGATCCCGAGAGGACCCTTCCAGCCGATCCACGAGATCCCAGGATGGATCGAGCTCAATGGCCATGCCTGGGAGTGCACACCCCAGGCAAGAGCAAGTCCAACAAATGGGCTGCGTGGACTCAGTGCGAAAAGTGCGGTTTGAGGCTGGAATATGTTCCGAAACAAGGGAGCCCAGCAACCAATGTGGAGACTTGCAATCCCTTCATGGTTCGCAAAGCTCTTCAAGACCTACGAGAGATGCTTCCAAGCGACATGGTTCCCAACGAGACCCTGGTGAAAGCATGCTACGACAAGGTGGCCGCAGAGGAGCGTCTGAAGACTCTCATGCTGGACTACAAGGATCAATTGGCCAAACTGCAGAAGAAGGTGGAGAAGGTGAAACCGGGAATGACATCGGCAAAGAGTGGTGCCGCTCCTTCCGTCATGGGAGGTTACCAAGGTGCAATGCCTCAGACTCCAAGGAGTGCGACCACTTCATGGGCCCAGGTGACACCTCCGCACTCTCCCGAGCTGAACGAGATGTTCGATCTGATGACGGAGGACGAGAAGCAAGAGCTGACCAATCGTCTTCGACAGCGCCGGCAAGCCATTCCGGTGTCGGACACGGAATTGGACCCTCCATATCAGCAATGAGCAATCACTACATGACTGCCGCGGAGATCAACCTGGACTTCGAGAACCAGCATCCTCTACCTCTTCGAGTTGGTCAATCGATGGTGAACACCCTGCACCTTGTCAACAATGAGTTCAATGAGATCATGGCGGAGACGGTCTATGGAAAGAAACCTTTGGTATGGGAGCTTTTCTGTGGTCCTCAGTCTCAACGGACCACTTCGTGCTTGGAGAATGGGTTGGAAACTATGAGAATCAACTTGGCCAGTGGATTCGACCTCTACAAGGACGAGACTTGGGACAAGCTCTATGGACTATATGATCGTCACCGACCTGAAAAGCTCTGGTTCAGCCCACGCTGCACCTACTTCTGTGACTGGGTTGACCTCAACTACAGTCATCGCCCTGAAGTTCTGCGAAGTATCTTCGAAAAGAACGACGCATGCTGCGACGCATGCGGGACTTCATGAAGTATGTCATCTCCAGAGGTTCTGACATCTACTGGGAATGGCCTTGGCGATGCAGAGGATGGAAAGAGAAGCTGGTCATCGAGTTCATCGACGAGGTCACTGCTCAATTGAAGGAGATTTGGACTTGTAGGATTGATGGTTGTAGATTTGGAATGAAAGGAGAAAGTGGCAACTTTATCAAGAAGTCATGGAAAGTGATCACCACGGATCAGGAGTTCTACAACCAATTTCGACTCAAAAGCTGTCTTGGCAATCACCAGCATGAATGGCTGGAAGGAACGGCTACATCCAAATCTGCCTACTACCCCGAACAGATGTGCCGGAGCATTGCGCGATTTTGGAGATCGATGCTCTTGCCCTCTCGATGGACGAAGATGCTCTGGACTGCCCCTGTGCAGGGCTTGGATCCTTTTCCTTCACTTCTCTTCACCCACAACGAGATTGAGAATGAGGCCATCCTACCTGCTGGAGAAGTTCATCATTCTGGAGGAGATCTACTGCCTGTTTCGGGAGTATCACAAGATCGAGCTCTTCAAGATTCTGAGGAGCTACAGCCTGGAGACCATCAACAAGACCCTGATTATGCAGGCGTTTCTTCCGCAGATCTTTCAAGCTTGGCGAGCCCAAATAGCCCGATTTCATCGAGCAGCTGGTCATCCGATTGCTCGCAATTTGGCGAGAATGCTTCAAGATGCACAAGTGGAGAAGTGGAAGATCAAGGAGGCATTTCAATATCGATGTCCAGTTTGCGAAGAACACAAACCTGGTGGAAAGTCATCGCGACAGGTGGCTCCTATGTCCATACGTCCTTTGCCTCAGCCCTGGGAACATCTTGGAATCGACATCACCGAGTGGGAGGTCCCTGGAATTGACCTCAAGGTGAAGTTCATGGTGATGATGGACATGGCCACTCACTATCGCGTGACTGAGACCTTGGCGACCTATCCCTACAGCAAGACCTACGTGGAAACAGCGGATGATGTGCTTCGAGTCCTTCTGACTCGATGGATCATGGACAAGCCCAAGCCGAAGATCTTGATCCCTGACAATGCCAACACCTTCCTCTCCCAGAAAGTGATGGAATTCTGTGCGGACGTTGGTATCACTGTGATGCCACCTCCTGACAATGAAAGTTGGGCACATGGAGTTGTGGAGAGGACGGTGCAGCATCTCAAGGAAGCTGCCAACAGGATCTACAGCTCTTCACCTGACCTTCCTCCTGCTCAAGTGGTGGCCTTGGCAACTTCAGCTTTGAACAGTACTGAGTTCCACCGTGGCTACACCAGTTTGCAATGGGCATTTGGTCAGCAAACAACACTGACCGAGGAGGAGCTTCGACAACAGATTTCCCTTCCTGTGGAGCGACAGCAAGATCAATATCTTCGACTACTCTCTCAACGAGAAGCTGCAGAGCAACATGCTCGAAAAGCTCGAGCGACCTTGCTGTTTTCCAAGTTGAAGAACACCTCCATCAAGCAGCCTGTGCGAACTTTTCACATGGCTCAGCCTGTCATGGTCTGGCGGAAGTTTCTCCCTCACACCATCTACAAGGGGAGAAAAGGAGGTAGAAAACACACAGCCAAACCCCGATGGGTTGGACCGGGAAGAGTGGTCTTTCATGAATTGGTGCCCGGTCAGACAGAATCTGATCGAAAGCAGATTGTCTGGGTCATCCTTGGGAACATCCTCTACCGAGCTTCAGTCCACAGTGTGCGACCTTTGTCAGCCCGAGAACAAGAACTACATGAAACTCATGGAGATGAATCACATCGATGGAAGGAGCTCACAGACATGATCCCACGGAGGAACTATGTCGACATTGAACCTGAACAACCTGAAGACGGAGAGATCGAAGAACCTTACCTTCCTCCAGTTCCTGGACCTCTTACCATGAAGCCAAAAATGAGATTCTGGAGGAAAGACACTATGTCGAACTATGGAGATCCTCTCAGCCAACGTCTTCAACGAGCACTTCCTGCACTTCCTCCTGAAGTTCCCTTTGAGATCCCGAATGACAAGGTCAATGAGTATGACTCCGACGTCGTCCCATCACCATCACCACCGTGTTCAGTGGAGGAGATTCCCAGCGATCGAGAAGCAGGTTCGAAACCTACCTCAAGGAGAACATCACTTGCTTCAGCCCCACCAATTGCTGAAGAACCTGACGGAGGAGAACATGGACCTCCACAACCTGCTGCTGAGGTGGTGGATGATACACCAGTGCCAGAGCCTGACCAGAAGAAGGCCAAGCTCGACGATGAGGGCGAGGCTGATGCACTTTTGGACTTTAACAGTGCAATTCTGGAATCAGGAGAAGGCTACTTCATGAGTTTGGACTTGGACTTGTCTTCCAATCGGCAACGCAAGATGTTTTTGAACAACCCTGTGGCCTTTTTGGCGAAGAAGCTGAACAATGCTGAAGTCGTGTATCGACGTCTTTCTGATGAGGACAAGAAGTTGTTCACAAATGCCAAAGCTGCAGAGGTATCTTCCTTTTTGAAGACAGCCGCAGTTCGCCGTTGCCTCTCTCATGAAGAAAACCTTCAAGCTCAGAACTCTGGCAGAGTGCTCAAAGCACGTTGGGTTTTGGTTTGGAAAGCGATTCCTGGTGAAGACCGATCCAAAGCCTTGGACTTACGTGCTGCGGATCCGGACAACACCACAGTGAACGCTGATGGTACTCAGAAGGCTAAAGCCCGCATAGTGGTGCTTGGATTTCAGCATCCGGACTTGGCCTCAACAACCTTCAGAAGCTCAGCCCCAGTTCAAAGCCAATTGATGCGCAACTTGGCTCTCTTTGTGACTTCTCAAAGAAACTGGGTACTGGAATCTTTGGACATGAGTACTGCCTTCTTGCAGACCGGTGCTCAACAAATGGAGGAGGAGAAGCTCTACACCAGTGGCGTGCCAGAATTGAAGCAGGCACTTGGAGCTTCCGATACCGAGCTGCTGCGCTTGGTAAAGAATATCTACGGCAACAGTACTGCACCTCGTGGACTTTGGCAAGATGTTGATGCGAGTTTCAAGAAGTTGGGCGCTCACCGAATTGTGGGCGACGCATCGTTTTGGGTGTGGACTGTGCCGAATCCGAAACCTATGAACAAGTGGGATCAGAACATCCTACTTGGCTATGTTGGTGGACACGTCGATGACTTCACTCTTTCAGGAGACCTACAAGATCATCGATGGATGGAAATTCGAAAACAAATCCTTCAAGCCTATAAGTGGGGAAGCCAGAAGCAACAGAGCTTTCGCCACACTGGCATCGACCTCGAGATCATGGAGAAAGGAAGCGAAAGATGGGCTCAACTTTCTCAGGACTTCTACATGGAGACCCTTCAGGACCTCACCATTTCACCTGAACGTCTTCGAGGAGATCCAAAGGCTATCATGACTGATGGTGAAGTTGCAGTTTGCAGAGCTTCACTTGGAGCCTTACAATGGGTTGCGACACAGACCCAACTGCAAGCTTGTGCTCGCGTAAACTTGCTGCTTACAGAGTTGACGGTCAATCGCAACATCACGGTGGCCAAGGAGATTCAGTCCCTCATCAAGGAGGTCCGATCAGAGCCTGTCACCTTGAAAATGTGGAGAATTCCGGAGATTCAGCATTGGCAAGATGGTGTGATTGTGACATTGGCAGATCAAGCTCATGCCAATCGTCCTCAAGGTGGATCGACTGGTGGCTACATCACCTTCATCGGTGGCCCCCAGCATGCGCAAGGAGAAGCAGGACGTCTCAACATCCTGTCTTGGAGATCTTGGAGATTGAAAAGGAAAGCGATTTCAACAAATGATGGTGAAATTCAATCCATGGTGGAAGGCGAAGATGCAAACTTCAGAACGAGATTCCTTTGGTGCCAGCTCAATGGCTGCATCCTTAAGGAAGAGTTGCTGGACGAAGCGAATGACATGGTGACCTACGTGCGTGGGATTCTTGGAACAGATTCACGCGGTGGCTTCGATGCCATCATGAAGAATGAGAGCCCCTTGCTTGGCCTCTCCAACATTCGCAGTGCCCTCCAGGCCTTCCAGTTGCGTGAGCAGATCGAGATTGCCAAGACAGCTTTGATTTGGCTGTCTGGCGATTGGAACCTTTCCGATGCCCTGACCAAGAAGGACAAGACCGCTCGCGCTGGATTGATGCAGTTTCTTCGAAACTGGATGTGGAAGCTTTCCTACGATCCCAATTTCATCCAGTCTGAGAGGAAGTCAAAACGACTTGGACAAGGCGCAGTGACCCAGATGCGCCAACTCCAATCCTTGGTTCCATGGACCTTCATGGACGAATTGGAGACTTTTTCTGATGCGTGAATGGCTGAGAAAATTTTGGATCGATGCAATTGGTACATCGGTCAGCCATTCATGTCACATCATGTTTCAATAGCTTGCTTACCGCAGGCCTTGAGCCCAGGCACGTGCGACGTAAAACATTGCCATAGCTGCTTCGGTGTGCTGTTGCATTTGCCACGCAGTGTGGCATTAGGGATTCTACTTGCTGTTCATCACCTTTGGCATCCAATCCCCATAGGGCCCCCGCTTAGCTACTGCAGAGATTCAATTTGAAAAATCATGGGACCGATGCACATCGGCAAACCATCCCTACTCGCAGCTTAAAATTCTTGGGTATAATATGGAATATTTAGGGGTCCTCAGAAAGATAGAACAGCTTTTCCAGGATGATATAGATGATGTTTTCTTCAAAACAAAAATCCAGATTTTTCACTGTTTTGAAAATCTATTTTGGGGGTCGCTATAACCATCTATGTTTATTAAGTTTATAGTAACCACCATTTTTCATCTATGTCGCTATAACCAATAACCAGGTTTATAGTAATAATCTATGTTGATAGATGGTTTATCCCATTATTTATAGGGTTTCAACCATCCAAGGTGGTGCAGGATTTCTTCCATCCACAGTATGTTGGATGATGTTTACTACTATCCCCCCCCCACATGTCAAAACGCCCTGGGCAGCCCTGCAGCTTGTATGTTCTCATCACCATCGCCATCCTCCTGGCCCCGGGGCTTTCAGGTTTTCAATGGCCATCTTAGGTACCGATTTCTTTGGAGGTACCATATATATAAATATATATAAATACATATATATATATAGATATATGTGTGTGTATAACTATATAAATTATATATACTTTTCGGGCTAAATTTCAGGAAATCTCCACACAAAATATGGCCTTTATATGGTCCGGTACTTCCATTTTAGGGTCCTGAATTTCCCAAATTCCCATGTTTGGTAAAACACATCTAGATATGGGTACGGGCCATATCTATGTCAGACCGACATGGTTTAGTCTATTTGGAGTATTAACCATCCTGTTTGGTGGTTTCAACCCCTCTGACAAATATGAAAGTCAGTTGGGATTATTATTCTCAATATATGGAAAAATGTTCCAAACCACCAACCAGCATCTAATTATACTCTCTCTCTCTCTCTCTCTCTCTCGCTCCCTCTCTCTCTCTCTCCCTCCATCGCCTTCAGATCAGGTATGGAATTATTGGTTTATGCAATTTTGACCCATACCCATATGCAAAGAGAAAACCTGACAACCACTTTCTTATGTGGTAAAGCCAATGATAAACCTAGCATTTGGGGATGGTTGGAATCCAACCCATTTATGGTACAGTAATATTGGGGATGATTCATGAGTGGCTTTACCACAATGCGTTCCCTCTTAAAGAATGAGGACTTTCCACTTTCAGTTTTACCTTCTGGACGGTTTTGTTTCCTTGCCAGTAAACAAGGTTGGAAGTGCTCAGCTGCTTGGGGTACTTCATACCCCAAAGCTTGTCATAGCCAGAGGAACATCTCACCAGTTCAATGGCAAGTCATGGCAGAAGGCACTTGGTTTCAGGCAGTCCCTGGGAGAATCATCATCCACGGATCGTACGTGGTTTGTTGAACCATGGCTATTTTTAGTCCCCTAAATGAAATGCTGGCATCCAGTTAATCCATTTACCACCTGGTTATGACTAACAGTTTGCCATGGAAAGATCCACCGTGCTATTAATAGGTAAACCCAGGTAAGCCATCTATTTCGATTGGGGCCATCATTTTCCATGGCGAACTGTTAGTCATAACCAGAGGGTAAGAGGGTGATCTAACCCCAGGCATCCTAACTGATGACGAGCCATGGCATCCTCCAGTCGTGCCGTCTCTCCTTGGCAACACTGCGCTCCGGGGCGTCACGCGCATCACGCTGCTCGCTGGCGGCGGCAGTTTGGCCCTGGTGTCATGGGAGAGTTAATAGGGGAAACCCCAAAAAGGATTCCCATGGATTCTAGTGGTAAAATGAGATAAGACCTAAATGTTCACCCAAATCAACCCATTGTATACCCACATACTACCTAAATTACCAGTTATATGGCCAATTCACCAACCTATGTCTTGCATCTCATTGCTGCCGCTCTTCTTTCCCACAAATTCACAAGACATATCTATTTCATCTCTATCATATATCTGTATCGATTCTATACCCGCATAGTATATGCACAAGGTATATATATATATATACACAGTATATATCATTATGTCGTACTCACACGTCACATGTCTCTTCAAGACTGCCATTCAACTTACTGGATGAGGGTGGTGGGAGCTAAAAACGCCGAAAAAAAAATCAAACAGCTAGACGATGACACTCAAGCATGTTGAGGAAAAGCTCGTGGAGGGAGTGCTCCTTCTGCGACCCAAAAGCTGCTTCTTTTGCTTTGCGTTCTTCTAGCATTGTTTGCTAAAGCTTTTTCAAGGCTCTCTTCAGCTGTTGTTTGCCTTTTTTGCGTTTTTTAGTTTGTTCTACTTTTCTATAGTTTCTTTCACTTATTCTGAGGTTGTTTAGATTTTCAAGTTTTCCTTCAGTGGTGAGATCTCAAAGAACCACATAGCAGAATAACATTGGATGTGTCTAGCGTTTTGTAGTTTTTCTATGTTTTTCTTTGGCTTCCTTGGTTCAGCTTCCTGTCCTTTAGCATTTTCCAGTTCCAAATTCTTTGAAGCGACACCTCTTGAGGCATGGCATATGATCCTATGATTGGGTGTCGCCACCGCAGCCACCAGATGGGTGGCTGTTTGTGCAGTTTGGGGACCCAATTTATCCCATCGGGAAATCATCAATTTATTCAATTTCCACCTTAGCCACAGTCATTTTTCAACAATTTAAGAATGATATGCCAGACCAAAGATGGGTCCTTTTTTCAGTAGCTAAAAGGTACCCAAACTCATCGCTTCCCGCGAGCCTTCATCAACTTGGGAACCCCTTGGAAGTCTGTGATGCTTTTCTTGCGCGTCATCTGAGGTCGTGGCCGACATAGGATGGGCTTTATGCCACAAGTTGAAATTGATGGGAGATGGTTTGTGGAAAATCATCATTTTTAATAGGTAAATCCTGGAAAATCATAATGTTTAATAGGAAAATCCACTATAAATAGCCATTTTCCATAGTTATGTTAAATTACCAGAGGGTATTATATATCTGGTTGGTGGCTGACCTACCCCTCTGAAAAATATGGGTTCGTCAGTTGGGATGATGACATTCCCAAGATATGGAAAAATGTTCCAAAGCACCAACCAAATATTTATTTTGAAACAAGAGTTACAAACACAAATATGGGTTTCAGCAACTATTTACACTATACTCTATTTAATTTCTGTCTTTGGTTTGCCAAATTTATGGCAAATGTTTGGGCATGTAGCCAGAGAATCTGAGTAGGTGAGATCCAACATCTCTCGACATCTCCCTGAACACTGCGAGCGAAAAAGGAGGTGTTTACTACTGTGGAAGCCCTATAAATGATTGGATAAATCAGCCTGGTGCAGGATTTCTTCCATCCACCGTTTTTTGCGTCATTGCTGAAATCATCTGGCAGGTTGGGCCCAGTAACTGAGAAAAAGGCCTCCGAAGAGTTGACCCAGTAAGACGTTCGCCCCCTGTGCGCTTATTTTTAGTACATCAGCATCTTCCCTTTTTCGGCTTTCTTGGTGAATGTCCTTCACCTGCATACATCGACAGACTGATTCCTCCTAGCTGTTTTACAATGATCCACTTTCCTGAAAATGGCTGTTATCATACGGCCATTTCGGGATATGTCTATACATTCAGCATGAAATTCCACATCACCATCCCATTCTGATCCAGTCTGACCATCCCCCAGCCGGCTCACATCAGTGATAATTTGATGAAACCCAAGCACCAAAGCCAACCGGGTTATAACCATGGATATAGAAATCTTGCAATCAAACCCAAATTACCTAACACCAACACAAAAAAACACCAAAATTAGATGTTTCTTCAGCCTGGAAGGCATTGATCAAATCTTTCAATTCCTTCTCAATGTCCTCTCGCATCAACAGGAGCTGCAAAACAAAGCAGGAAATCTCAGACACATGATTTAGATTTGATTTAGGACGAGAAACTGAAGCTTGGGAATGTCATTTCAGCAAACTTTCGGTGTTTACCATTGCATTATATCGGCAAAAAAAAACAGGACTGATTCCATCTTCGACGCTAAAGAAAGCACCATGATCCAATGACGTCCCCCATGGCTGGTAGTTGATGATTCTGGCTCCTCGTCTCCATTTTCACCTGCCAATTCCTGACGAGCGAATGAAACAAACATCATTCGCAAAGCGTGCAGAAAGGGTGCTGGAAACCCCAAGATTTCAATTCTTGCCAGTTTTCAGTGAACCTCCATCTATGTCATACCAAAAACTGAGAAAACCAAAAACCATACCAGAAAATGGAACGCCGATATTGGAGTTTTCTACAGGCGTTCATATTTACAAGGTTTGTACAGGTTCCACTACCAAATGTGATAGTTCCAGCTAACTTTCACTTTTGCTACCCCCTGGCGGATATACACAGGTAAAGATATATGCAGGTAACATATGCCGAGGAGTTGGGGACACAAAAGATTGTAAGTTACATTTTTGACCTCTCACAGGGTGTGGAAGGGGGGTGGTAGCCGGTAGGCCCTGTAGATCCCTGTAGGCAAATCCTTCGCGCCTGACTCTCAGGAGCAGTCCTGGGGAGAATGAATACCAAACCATGGTGGACAAATCACCAAAAAAACACAAGGGTTGCTAAGTAACATCCGAGAAGCAAATCTATCTAAAATCAAGTAACCTCCATTAACCTCCCAAAAATAGATGGTGAAATTATGTAAAATCCCATAGTGAATCGTTGGGCACATGCATGAACATGTTTCTTGCTCGCAGGACTTCATTTTTCTGGATTTTCAAGTCATTCAGAGTGGTTTTTCCCAGAGTTGGGTCATATCTCTTCAATCAACTCTGGTGG